CATACACATACAGAGATGTATTCTAGGCGTAGTTGGATAGCAAGAGGTGGTGATGGCTAGGGTAGAGGGTTGGATCGCCTCCAATCCAAACCTTCACAAACACCATTGTGGAACAGGGCGTGAGAGCACTCGTATCTCCATGGGGTTTTTCAAATATACAATCGGTACATTCCCACGTGGACTATGTACACTCACCAAACCGAAAACACATGCATGCAACCTGAATATAAGCTCTTAGATACCCCTAGTAAGTGTCTGCTTGCCAGGATCCGGGTGTGCTCCAAAAGCATCCAAACGGGACGTAGTCCAGGGTCGAAAACACCACACATCCAGGGTCCCGACACTGGATGTTCGAAGTTGTTGGGCTATGTCTAGGCGAAAAGTGTTAAGTCCAACCCTAAATATGTTGGGTAGTTGTTTATTTGACGCAAATGGCACCCCTGCAACCCCACAGCCGCAAGATACATGCTGGCTGCAAGTGGTTCTATTTGGAATTTGGAGGTTGCCTGAAGGTACATAGTAAAATCACCTGATACTACGGGCCCTTGTCGAGGACAGCTGCACTTGGTGCCCAGCAACTGCTCCAAGGCTGTTCGGAAGGCCGTAGGGATGGCTGAACAAAGTGCTCGGTTGCGGGACGACCTTTGACAGCAATACTTTTCAAAACCATGCAAACATGCTCGCGATGAACATGGACGGACAAGGAAGGACAAAGCAAATAATGGCATAATGGCACTGATGCAGGACTACAACACTAGTACACAGTACTGAATTATCAGCCACAGCATAGACAAAAACAGACACTGACGGAGCGGGTACTTGTTCGACGGTACTAGCAGTCGGAGAACTCCATTTGCTTGATGAGTCTAGTGTGACATACATATTTCTTTCACCACATCAAGACTTCTGCTTTTGTGCAGAACTGCCGTGAATCAGTTTGAGACTACCCGTTGCTGTCATTGCAATGCATGTGTGTGCCTCCCTACATGCAGGCATCCATGAAGCCACAAGTCAGAACATGGATAAGGCCATCGCTTCCCATGCAAGTTGGCGCGGTCGGCCGTGAGATCAAAGGGGCCTGTGCTGCAACACGAGACGCTACCACCAAGCCCAGGCCAGGGAAAACTTGATGTGTGTGGGCAGTTCTCGAAACTAGAGCCCCGTTTTGGACCCCTTTTCAAAGAACTGAACCGTGCAGCAGGGTGTGTTTTCTCTGTTGGCTAGGCCGCTGTGGACAACCTACAGACATCGAGCATTTCGGAAATGGGTAGCCATGCATCCCAAAACTCGCAATTTGCCCTCCGGCTGTCTGTGTTGCATATGCGTACACAACAACAAGGAACCAATTGAAAGGCGGGGGACATTCGGTATGGAGGCTAATCACGACCCGATGCTTAAACCGCTGGCCGACGAGATGGCAGGGGCACTAAAGCAGCGGAAGCATTGTCAAGCCGGAGGCTTGATGCACAGCAGCGGGTCACACAAGATCCCAATGGAATGGAGAATTCCTGGAAGCGCCTCACTGGTTGAGGATCTTGTTCTTGTACGGCGGCGAAGGCATGACATTGCGTGCTTCGAGCTGTGGTTTGGACTGAGTCCCGCTGCTTGGAGCCCGTGTTTTTCCATCGTCTGGTTCTTAGTAGGGCATGGGGGAATGGGTCCCTCCAGTAATCAATATCATCCCCAATAGTAGTCTCCATACTCCCATTCCCCCATGCCCTACTAAGAACCAGACAGCCCATCGTCCGGCAGAGAGTACGGCAGACATGGGAGCTTGTTGCGTGGTCACACGGATTCCCCAGCCGAGGCTGCTATAAGCGGCACTGTTCTCCATTCCTATCATATTACAGTTTAGGGGCCTTCATAATTAGAAAGATACTATAGTTATAGTAAGGAACCCTTCAAAATAGTATTGGTAATTATGTAGGCCCCTATATTATATACATGATTGTCATGTGTGATGAGCGAACGATGCCAACCTCAGGCAGCAGCCTTGGATCGCGAAGCGGAAGCCAACAACCTTCACCGGCAAGAAGGTGAAGAGAGCCTGCAGTGGAACCTGGTGAGCAAAGGGAAAGCTGAAGTTCTTCGTGGTGGTGAGGCTTCAGGATCTTCGGTTTCGACAAAAAGGCCGAGGGATTTCCGGCTTGCTACAGGGATTGTGACCAGTCCCGTCTGCAGGGTTGGGTATGACCCTCTACGTAGAATTAGAGCAGAGCTGATTCAGTCATCAGGTGTCCGAACTTATGCCGCGGCAAGGTAAAACAGTACAACATTACGAACAAAAAGCTAAAGCCACATTAAAGATCGCTCTACGCCCTTAGCCCTCAAATTGGATCTCAAGCCCGGAGCCTGCAGCAGCTCACTTTCATCCTCGTCGGCATCGTCCTGCAGGGAGCCGACCAAATCAGCCAGGCAGCACACCGGCTCTTACAGTGCTTCCATTCTGCTCCCGGAAGCTTCTGGTTTCTCGGAGTCTGACAAACAACCGAATTTCACATGCGAAACTACAGATACACACACACACACACACACACACACCTCCCCCACCCACCCTGCGCCTCCCTGGATGCAAAGGACGCCGGAAAAGCCAAGCTGAGCTTGGCAGTTGACTCGCCGCCCTGCTGCACAGGTCTTTGTTTGGTTTATGTCCTAGGTTTTGTGGTTCAGTGCTTCTTGTGTTGATCGACGGCAGGGGCTCCGCAGTTCGAAAGCCTCAACTGATGTAGGAGCATCGTTTGCGATTTGCAGCATGCTGCGTTATATGCAGTATTCCACAAGGCACTGCCAAAGACTGCTCAGCCTGAGCGCAACTGATTAATGAATCTTCAGAGGATGCGCACTGCACCCTCGTAGCCTGAGACACATGACATGCATGCAAGACTAGGAAGTTTAGCCAAACCTTCCGTGATAGACTTCATCTACGAAGTCGGATTCAACGAAACCTCAAACCCCGCCACCCTCGGCCCTGGACCACCATCCCTACCTCAGTCGGAGGATGACTTCCCCAACAGCGCCCCAAACTTGAATCTCTGGAAAAGCCAGGTGTTGCCCTTTCCGGACGCCAGTGTCACTGTGCTGATAGAGTTGAACGGGCATGCATGCACTTTGAACCGAGAATCCTGGCAGCGCCTCTTCCTCAGCTTCGTCCTCCCACGTCACACTCTGATGGTGAAGCACCTGGGGCGCATCTGCTGGAACTCTCAAGCCTACATACACTACAGTAAACCCCATAAAGTTGGAAACCGGATCAAGGCCAAACAGTGCTGGGATTACCTATACATTACTCTTAAGGATTGAGACGACGGGGCTTCCAACTTTGGGGCTTCTACTGTAGTCCCTACTAAAGCCCTTTTTGTAGCTCGGCCGAGTATATGTGCCAGGACATGCTGAGGCCGAGGCGTATGCAGGCATCTGAATCCGCGGCTCCTGCGCCTGGTTTGAATACAGCACACCCAGAGACTCCAATATCCCTTAATTAAGGAAGATTCCTTAAATCATATTTGGGATCCTACTATAGTTTAAGGTATATGCTTTATAATTAAGGGATATTGGAGTCTCTGGGCAGCAAGCGGCAATGGTACTGTATGGGGCTGTTCACAGATGCCGCTTTCGACCACAACTGTTGCTGCAAAGGCTATAGAGAGGGAATGCGCACGCGCCACCGCACACCGTGTCTTGCTGGCTCCAGCCACACATGCACAAACAAGCTGGAACCTGATACTCCCACGGTGCCGTGAAGCCTCAAGCCTCAACCACGATCGTAACAGGCTCAAAATACTTAGTACCGACACAACGACAATCCGAAGACCCCAACTCATACAACACTAGGACCGATTCCCCATGACCCAGCAGAATCCTTGCGCTCATCGATGATCTTCACCTTGTCGAGCCGCAAAGTGAGCTGCGGGCTTCGACTATAATGTGCCGAGACGACAAAGACAAGGCAACTGATTGGGAAGGAAACTAATTGACATCCGGGCTCTCGCTCTGTCTCGCTCTGTCTCTGTCTCTTTGTAGGGTGCTTGCGCGTCTCTTTACCCTGACTGGTTGCGCAGAGGGATACCGACTGAGAAAGAAAACTGATGCTGGCAATCAGAGGCAAATACTCTCCTCACGGGATGCCCCCCCCGAGAACCGGGCAAAATCCACACCACAAGCAACGAACACATCCCCGCACAACACAGGTCTGAAGCACAGGGCAGTGTAGGGTACTTCGGGATCATCCGTCGGCTTGAGCAGCGCACGGCTGTGACATCTGACGCAGCGGGGAAGTAGAGCTCTGCAAACTGTGCCTGCATCGCCGATTTACAGGGTGTGCAAACCGATATGCAATGGTCGGCCGTGAGTTTACTAAACAGTCTTGCATCTTAATGTCGGTGGCAGGTTAACCGGTGTACAGCTTAATTACACGTAAGCTTCCTAAAAGCCTTACAAAATACTAAGTGGGTCTTCGACACACTAGATAACTGGGACGCAGGTAGAAGACCGCACAGTGGTTCGGAACGATGGGATGTCTTGCGTTCGGCTGGGTGGAGACATGATGCAAGCATACTGAATCCTCGTCTGTAGTCTGCAGCTAAGAGCTATGTCCTCCCAATATCAACTGCGCCAAGGGTAGGCGAGCTTTGGACTTATTCGAAAGTGACTCCCCCAGGGCCCAAACAAATTAATATGGTGGCTTTACGAGGAATCTTGGCTTTACGCAATCCCACACATACGCTCTACGCCTGGCGCCTATGCCTTTATGGCCGGAGGTTTGACAACAGCATTTGGCACTTCTTCATCGACCGAATCAAGAATGGCGAAGAGAACACGATCACGCTTTTGCTGTTTTATCACTCATTTTCCGTGGCGGGCACGATGGCCGATTCATGGCAGCTAGTTCAACTCACTTCTTACTGTACAACTTCACAACCCGGGCTGTTACAACTTTGGCAGCATGCGGGGACAAGGCCGGTCGACTGTCAAGAAAAAGCACTCAGAAAAGTGCCTCGTGCTCACAAGCCTTTGGCTTCCATCTCATCTCGAATTCGCTGTGCTTGCTGCGCTTGGGAGGCCAGTTCGCAAGCGTGAATGCAGGAGTCGTAGCAGTCCTTGTTTGCTTGCAACCCCGTGTCATCCAAAGTTTGCAGGAGATAAAGGGCCTGTTGCCACACTGCAGCTGCCTGGCAGGCTTTTATAGCAAGTGTGCAGGATACCAGATTCAGCTGGATGCGTCTGTTTCGACTTCTTTGACACAGGCTCACAGCATGGAGCCATTCTCCCGCCTGCTCGCATGCTGCGACAGCAGAACTGATGGCAAGAATATTGGGAGGCAGCTGTCTGAGCTGAGACTCCTCCAGAAGACCAACTGCAGCTTCCCAATTTGCTGCAGCCTCGCAAGCTCGTATTGCACAGGCATATGTGACATCATCCGGCATCATCTTCTGCCGCTCCATGCTTGCGAAAAGCTCTGCGGCTGCGTGCCATTCCCCGCTGCGGGCACAGGCGCTAATCGCAGCATTAACAGCAATTGTGTCGGTCCCCATGTGCTTGGCAGCAAGCGTATCTAGGAGACACAATGCCAGCTGCCATTCGGCACCTTGTTCGCATGCACTTATGGCAGTGCTGTACATGAAAAGATTCAGCTGCAGAAGGTCCAGCTCAGCCTCTTTCAACAGGCACAGTGCCCGCTGCCATTCAGCCGATTTCCCACAAGCACCAATCAAGGATCCGTACAGCATTGTGTCGGGCCGCAGCTGCTTCGTTCGTAGGCTACTTAGCAGGAGCAAGGCTTGCTGCCATATTGCTGACTTCTCGCACACCCTAGCAGCCACACCGATCACAACTTCATTCACAGCGAGGCGCTGATGTTCCGCATCATGCAACAAGGATAGCGCTTGTGGCCAGACATTGGTTCTCTCGCAGGAACGAATGCCTGCTGCTGTGGAGATCTCTGTGGCCTGCAGATTCATCTTCCCGATGTCTGCCAGCAGGAGATGAGCATGTTGCCACCTACGGGCATTGGCACAAGCGCTGATTGCAGCATTGACCGTAACAACACCGAGGGCAAACGGTTCCTGCAAGATGTCAGCAAACAGCTTCAGGGCCTGCTGCCAGTTCGAGGCCTTCTGACAGGCATTGATCACTGCAGTGTAGGTGATTACATCAGGCTGCAAAACGTCGCCTTGCATCCTTCTAACGAGTCGCCACGACCACTTCTCTTTGCCCGCCTTCGCGCACGCACTGACGGCGGAGTTGAATGAAATCAGATCGAGTTCAATGCCATCTGCGAACTGCTGTTCCAGAAGGGAAAGGGCCCACTCCCAGCGCGCAACCTTCTCGCACGCATCGATCGTTGCACCCCAGGCGATGCTGTCGGTTTGCAATCGGCTCGCGCGGGCTTCGTCCAGAAGAGCGACAGCATTCTCCCACCTCCCACGGCAAGCACGAATCGCTTTGGTGTACTCGACTAGAGTTGGAGTCCCGCTTGCGCATCCGACATGGGCCAGCATCTATTCGAATTAAATGTTAATTCAACATCTGGAAGCGCTTTGCTGAGCCAATGGTGGAGCGCTCGCGGGGCACTCGATGATGATGCTGGGTGCTGGGCTACTGCAGGACAAGTTTGGACGAACAGCTTGCTTACCTGCCTGACACCGCTCCAGTGTCATTCTGCGGCCTCAGTGGACAAGCAGGGCACAGTTTCAACATTCAGGGCTGTCTATGTTGCATCATGGCCGGTTGCACCGAAGGTGTTCCAAAACGCCGTAAACATGTCTCATCAGGTAGCATATTGAGCCCTGGACATGCCTGAACTTCTCCTTTAGGTCCTTCAATCCCGCAACATGGGAGCGCCAGACCAAAAGCTCTTTGCACCAAAAATGCTAAGAAACAAGCACGAAGAGCCCTTAGACCCTCACCCTGTGATGCAGACGGTACGACTTCTCAGGAACGGACCATCGGGGAAGCACAGCTGCAGCCGCCGCAATCGACGCAAGAAGGCGAGACACAGATGCTGGGCCTCAGTTTAGATTGCTGGCTCACCTATGACAACGGCCGACGATCGCCGAGGCATCTTGAGTCAATCAATTTTCTTGAGCAGTGGCGTAGGGCGATCGTTGCTGAACCGCTGTCAAAGATGCCGTCACATTCACAGGCATAATGCGCATTCTTCGGGAAGCCTGCTCGGCCGCTGATTCTCCCCAGCGAATCACGATTTACAGATGGCCGAAGCCTCTCTTAGTGGCCGGCAGCGATCTGTTTGAGTTCCGCCTCGACCGCGGGAGCGTCGGAAACTGACCGCAAGGGCAGGAACATCACCTGTGGTTCCGCAGAGCAGGGTTGAGCGTTTAGGGTTGCTGCAAAGTTGAGCATTTGGGGTTGCTGCAAAGTCGGGTTTGCCGAAAAAATCACGATGCATGACATGAGCTATGAACGCACTGGAAGGATGAGGCTTCCGAGTTCCCTGGCGCTTGGTTCACAAAAACGGCTGACATGTTGTTGGCCCCAACATTTCCCGCTATCCCAGAATGTTGGCCCCGAGCTGGTGCTTGCAACACTTTTCTCTCCACATATATATATATATATATATATATCTATATATATATATGATGTATTTATGTATATATGTAAATATAAACATACCCTTTGAAACTTCAAGCAGAAGGCCGAACTCTCAAGCCCTCCTATAGCGGTCTGAATAGTTGCAATAGAACTTTGGAGTGGGCTCTAGTATGACTAGAGAAATAACATTGTAAGGGGATAGGGATACTGGTAGTCAAGTCCAAATTATTCAGACCTCTATCTTAACATCGGTCGAGGGTCTAGGGTTGGAGCCCGGACGGCCCACCCCGACAAAGCCAGAAGGGTCTGCTGTGCCAGTTGTCGAAAGGAGGGGAAGCCCCGATCAAGATTGCTGGAAAGGAAGCCTGAACGTATCGGCATCACAAGAAGTCTGAAGTCGTACTGCTGGCATACATTGGGAAAACATATAACTGACAGACAAGACCAACCGAAACACACTGCTGCCACCCTCCAGGGCGCGAGCCGTCCTCCCAGCAGCCTGTCGAGCCACAATGTACACGACTCGTCGTCGTAGCAGTAGTGGTAGCAGTACGACGAGTAGTAGCAGTAGCAGTGGCAGTAGTTGTAGAAGTAGAAGTAGAAGCAGCAGCAGGAATAGGAGTAGCAGCAGGAGTGGGAGCAGGAGCAGGAGCAGAAATAGCAGTAGTGGCAGTCGTAGTCGTAGTCGAAGTAGTCGAAGTAGTCGTCCTAGTAGTAGTAGAAGTAGTAGTAGAAGTAGAAGTAGTAGCAGTAGTAGTAGTAGTAGTAGTAGTAGTAGTAGAAGTAGTAGTAGTAGTAGTAGTAGTAGTAGTAGTAGTAGTAGTAGTAGTAGTAGTAGTACTAGTACTAGTACTAGTACTAGTACTAGTACTAGTAGCAGCAGCAGTAGTCCCAGCTAGACCCACATCCCTAAAATTTTATATTCAACAACCTGCAACCCGAACCCAAGACCCACAACAAAGATGGCCTACTGTTCCAGCTGATATCCACACCAGCCCGGAGATCCTAAGCACTTGATGCCGAAGCCCTAATATGACAAATCTTACATACTGCATCTTGAGGATGCGTTCTGCAGAAGCCTTCGCGCTTTGGCCTTGAACCCCAATTCAAACCCGAAACCCTAACCCTAAGCCTATAAAATTTTAGCCCTGCAACCTTAAGCCCTAAACCCTAAACTATAAACTATAAACCCTAAATTATAGACCCTAAACTATAAACCCTAACCCAAACATCCTAAGATGTGCAGAGCCTTGGCTTCCTTCACCGGCTTCGGCAAAGATTCGATCTCCTGGAAGTCGAATTGTGGCTTTAAGGGTTTAGGGTTTAGGGTCTGAATGTCAGAGCTTGCGATGCAGTGTTTAAATTTGCAGTGGAAGGTTGAGAAGTTCGTTTAGATTGATGGTGATCAGTAGAAGTTTGCTCCTCTTGCAGAACTATGGCCTTGGCATAGGCAAGGGCGTTTGTAGCCATCGGTGTTCAACATTAAGTCCGTGGCGATCAAGCACTCGTTTGCATATCATGGGAATCACTCGAAACCATTGACAACTGCATCACACAATGTTGTCCGCCGTCGGAGTGGCTACTGTCCCAAAAACATGTAAGTCGAGTCGGAAAACCAAGCACTGGCTTGAAGGCGACACGGTTGGTCGTGATCGGGTTCTGGAGTTCAGGGCCCAGTTCTGTAAATCTGAGCTTAGAAACTCTTCTGAACAACCAGTAGACGTTGGCCAACCCCGTCGGCCTCGTCCGTAAGATTCGTCGGAGTTACGTAGGCCAGTTGGCCTCTCAGATGTTTGTGCTTGAGCCACATGCGTTCAGGAACGTGGACGGTACATGGTGATTGGCTTGGCGTGTGGAGATTCAGATTCAAGCCACGCGCACGAAACTGTATGAACGACAATGTTGGACCGCCCCTCTCGGCTACACTTCAACGCATGCGTTTACACATTGACCAGAATTCTTTGAAGTGCCGGTGAAAAAGCCTCCAATTCGGAGTGGATTTGGTCTACATAGCTCACTTGTTGCAACGCAATACAACATTGGCAGGCAGAAACTGCTCTTCCAGTCTCCAAGAGCCCTTCAGGTCTCATGCTCATGCGTGTCAGACCGTGCCGCAACGATTGCCATTGTAGTGTAGCTTCACAGGTGAGTGGTTAAACCCCTAAAACCTTACAGCACATTGTGGTGTAAGATGGTATGCGAGCCTAATGGCCCCGCTGTGTCGAACTTAAAGGCGAACTCCCTCGACCTCGGTGCAGAGTTGCCGGCAACTCCAAGCGCAATTTGGAAGTTAATCTGGGAGATCTTTCTGTACATACACAGATATGACGAAGTTCCTGCAGACGAAGTGGAAGGTACTGGCACGTCCTGAGAACCCAGCAGCACGTGTGGGCAGTCGCTGATGCGGAAGACACTCTTCCAGCCAATTCCCTGTCACACCAACCAGGCTTGAATTTGTGCCTGTGTTTCCGTAAAAGCCCAGCTTCACAGAAAATGGGGACGCTTTGGGCTGATGGGTCCCTCTCCTGTGGTTCTAAGGGGCACAGACCCGGGGCGCATGGATGGAAACGTATATCCTGCAGTAACTTGGCTGCTTGGGTTGGCTCCTGAGTAACATACAGATTCAGAAGTCGCAGACATCAAATTATAACACTGGCCTGAGATGAGCTCCAAGGACTCTCACAGGACTGCACGGGCTTTGGTTCTGCAGATTCATTAGCAGTATTATACGACTCCTATGCACACGACTCTTCTGCTGCTTCTTCGTGTCGCGGCTTGTGGTAGAAAGCTCACACACCGACGGTAACTAGTTATTTTGCTGCAATGTAATTCTGGCAAACCTTTCATTGCAACACGGAACTTAATTAATTTAAGATTTTGTATTTGGGGTTACCTACATTTCTATAAGCCTTGCAACTTGCACCTCTGGACAATATGGCCCGAAGCTGTACTGCCAAGAGAGCCTTGTGACCTGTCTGCCCAGCACCCTTCATGCTTGCGTTGACGTTGCAGATGGCTCGGACGTCCTGTGACACACAATGTTTTGGTGGTCGTGGGCACCAGACTCAGTCAAAGCCGAAACAGTTCCGGCTTGTTGCGTTCTTGCACAAGTAAGGATCGTGCTGGGTGCGGATTCCGGGGTGGGGCTTGCGTGGGTTCATTTCAAGCTCTATTGCGTTGTCATTCATCGGGCCTTGCTCATACAAGCAAGCCTTCAACACCGAAGATGCCAGGGGTGCCATCTCGATTTCAGGCTTCTGGTCATCGACATCAAAGAGAGCACGGTGTTACGGGAGTTTCCGAGACAGACCGGAAACATGAATGTAACACAACTGGATGTTATTAAGGCCTTGCATTGGGCCTTTATGGAGCTCCTAACACCGCTAGATCCACAGCTTCAGGGGTCCAGGGTTTCGAATTCTGAGCCTGGTTTTGAGGTCTCAATGCTTTGAACTCGGGTCTTGCTGTCTGCTAGTTTCAGACAGCACGGCAAGCTCAGAGATCAGGTCCCCTTGGATGTTTGTGCCTGACAGGCTGTAGAAACTTGTTTCGATGAAGCTGAAACTCAAAGCCCAATGCTTCAGAAACTCTTGCCCTAAGCTCAAGAGCCATGAACCTCTCGACCCAAAGGCCAAACTCTCCAATCCTTCTAAACTCCGAAAACCTCGACTCGAAAACTCTACGTTTCTCGTTCCTCAGCCCTACGCCTCAAACCTGCCTGATTCCCGAGATACTGCATTCCCTAAGCCACTGCTGGCACCTCTCGGGACAAGCCAATCTCGTTGTTGGAGGTCCAAACCTCGCTTTGTGATCTCAGGGTTCTTTGTTAAAGTGCAGTGGCCTTTCTCCGCGCGAGCAGGGGTTTAGGGTTTACGACTGTGCAGGTTAGGGTTTAGGGTATAGGCATAGGGTTTAGTGTTCAGTGATGCTTGGTGCTTGAGAGATTGAAGGTTGCGGTTTAGGGTCGTAATTGAAGGTTGAGGGTTACAAGCGTCTAGGTGGTGTAGGGTATATGGTTTAGGGTCTAGGGTTTAGGACCTTTAGGGTTCCTTAAGCGTCGGGACTTTGTGTGTGTGTGTTCCGACTGGCACACATTGACATGAAAACTGCGAAATCATGTAAGGAGCTGACGTATGCGCCAAGAGACGCATCAACCTCCATGGACAGACAGAGCTCCGGAACCTCAACCTCGCTTGCATACCTCCATCCGCAGGGCTTCTGGCGAAAGATAGTTTTGAGAGTGTTCGATTTGGGGGCAGCTGGAGTTCTTGACTTATACCCCCTGCGTCGAGGAATGGTGATATCTCTGTAATCATGACAGCGAAAAAGCTCGACTTCATTCCGGCGTTCTGATACTTATGAATTGGGGCACGGAGGTGCTAGGTTGAGATGTTCGGCATCTAGAGGCTTGGGCCCAAGGTTCCAGCCACATGACCGGCATAGAGGACTGCAAAATTGGGCTCGGCAGTCGCAACATGCCCCAGCCCACATTACTCGCAGCGAACACTTGCGCACTTGTTGTCGTCGGCGTTCTGGATGAGCTCCCAAAGGCAATGGCACTCATCTGCATAAAGGTCCATCGCCAGCCTCCCGAGTCGGCCCTTGTCCACAGCCCTTCAGCAATTGATGTCAATGGCTCCCGTTCACTATGAGGTTTGGCGTGATTGACCGTAGGAGCGTTGTGTCTACAACCTCAATCACAATCCCCTACTGTGCGAAGAGGAAACCTTGGTTCGAACTTTAGGCAGGAACATGGGACAACATGACAGGACGCCTCTCCACAGCGGCGCACAGCGACCTCTCAGCACACAAGATGCTGTGGCAAGCTAAGGCGGCCGAGGAGAAGACGCACGCACTTGCTGCAGCGGGACTCTTACCGTCAGACCTGCCAGCAATGCTACTGTCATGCTCCCCAGATCCCAACTGCAACGACTGAGGCCAATTCATCCATCATAAACCCTGAACCAAATCGCCAGCGCTCATCCTCGCCCTGCACTTTGCCTCCGCATGCCGAGCAGTCCGGCTTTGACCTCATCTGTGATGCCCTCTTCCCATTCGCAGTTCACCAGCCTGGCAGAAGATGTGTGTGTGTGTGTGGGTGGGTGTGGAGGAACGCTCGGCTGAAGGTGCAAGCGAAGGTTTGAGTACGACTGCTGTCTGTTGAGTTCATATGTTTTGTGCTGCTCTTACGAAGGCCTTCGTGCACGGAAGTCTTGGGGCTCTTCTGTCTCGGCTTAAGGTTCCTGCCTCTTATTACTACAGTGGGCATTTAGGTTTCGGCTTTTGGACCAATGTAAGATCGTGTCTACAGCCCGTAAGTCGACGCTTCGCTTCAACGAGGCTGAAAGCTTCCGTCTCCGGATGTCAAACATTGCCAAATACGCCATGATCCTCCGAGCACGAAGGTCCCAAAGCCGCGACAAATCACGATGTTTGGAGTTTAGGGTGTAGGGCTTAGCTCTCAAACTCCAAGCGCGTGCCTCCAACAATCCAAAAACCTACACTATTTGTTCAGGTAAGTATACTAAGCCCATAAAGATCTAAAAACTTAATACATACTTTACATGCCGAACCCAATTCTAAGCAGTATTTAAGACCCCTAGAACAGACCCAGAGTTGCCTGTCGGCTCGGATGCTTTCGACCACGAGCTTTGCTTCGGCAAGGACGCCTGGAAGCTCTTGCCCATAGCGAATCGCGAAGGTACGTGTATGCAAACTACACATACAGATTAGTATAATAATATTCTCATCCATCTGTACATTCAAAATTATTCATGCATCAATACAACAATGCTTCCGTCCATTCATCCATCCAGAGAGGCAGCCATCCATGCATTGCGGCTCATGACTTCTGCTGTTGTTATATGGTGTATTAATTACTGGCCTAATGATTTTTCTCCTAGCCAGATTTACAGATGGATCTTTGTCAACACCGTTGGCACGTGTTCCATGTTTTCAGACCGGACGTGCAGCGCTTGCAAGGGTCAGTTTGAAGAAGTCGCTTGCCACTATCGATTGTACTCGTGTCGATGTCCGTCAATTTACGACTACTGCTACTATGCTTCCGCTGCTGAAAAGTCTGTCATTCCTGGAACCGAGTTAGTGGTAACTCTGACTGAATACTGCTTATGCACAGACAATAGTAACTTGCGGCAAGCAGTTTTATCGCTGCTTCACATCGAGCTCACACTTTCCGTTGGAATCTGCTTTGGCACTCTTGTTGTTGCTGCAGGTGCTGCAACTGCGTCACAAATACTCTACGGTGCTATTCTCATCAACATCTTGGTGGGGTCTGAACCCCACACCCTGTCTGAATATATGTCTCGCTTCCATTCTCGCCACAGGCACTGTCATCCAACTTCGGGGCTTCCAAAGGAGGCTGCTTCTTCTGCGGAGCTGGCGGAGCTTCCTCCTTCATGTCTTCAGGATGAAGGGCTAGGGCCGTTGGTGATTTAGGGTTTAGGTTTTGGGCTCGGCGGTTTAAGGGTCTGCGTTGACAACAGGAGCATCTTAAAATGACTGCCGTCTCGAAACACTAAACCCCGCCCTGTCAGCAGAATCACGGTTTCCTCCGCAGATTTCTGCGGCTCCTCGGAGACCCGGGTCGGCCTCAGAATGGGCTTGACTTTCTGCAGGGCCAAAGCTGTGTCTAGTCGGTGGAGCCGGTGCGCTGCGAAGGACGCAGGTATCTGAAGTAGGGCTGTTTGGGAAGGTATAGGTCGCGAAAAGCATGTCAGTTCCAATACATGTAAAGTGTCTTCGGCTCTTACAGCTTTTACTGCCATTGACTGGTTGGTGTTGACAGCACTGGCGGGATCGACTATTGTTGCTGCGATGGTGACATGCGAATCTCTGCGAACGGTACAGAAGCAAACAAGCATCAAAACCAGTCTCTCGACCAAGCTCGTTGTCACATTCTCGTCCCATGTCGCACACAACCAGGCCGACTCTGTTTCGGCAAGGCACTGAGACTTGGCTTTGGGCATGTGCCTTGGCCGCAAGCCGGTTTTGGGCTTTGAGGGCTTAATGCTTTTAAGTAGTGTGCTTTTGCAGAAGACCGATTTCCATCTCGCTAGATTCCAGAGTCAGGAAACTGCAATGAGCCCAAGCCAGCTATTCACAAGCTTGACACGCACCATGACGCAGCCGAACACTGAGGAAAACTTCCGCTCTGTGTTTGGCGCGGGTTCAGAGTCAGACGTCGGGCTGCTTTACTACGTCCGAATGAGTTTATCCATGTTTCCGCCATCTTCGAAAACGTATATTGACATTAACCATGTCATGATTCTGTCTTTGAGTGAATCTGGTGTAGGCTATTGTTCTACTTAAATGCAGACTAGTCAATGTTGACACATTGCTGTTAGCACTTAGCTGCTTTCATGTCCAATGTATAGTCTGACACAAGCAAAGATCACTGGGCAAAAGCAATGTTCTGCAACTATCCCTGGCATGGCAACTAAACTCAACTACATGCCACCTGGGGTTAACGGACTTGTAGTCAAAAGAACACCCACATACCATCGCATGTCTAGCGAAATAACGAGTTGTGTAGTATTTTCTGCATGTGTGTTATCCGATCGTGCTACAGTTTTGGCTAGCTAGCATCCATCAAACGGTCAAACATAACATGTGGGTCCTAACTTGAAACGCTTTGTCACAGAAGCACAAGCACACGTGTCGCAAACAAACTGACTCATGTTTGGCACTAGGTAATGAATAGCATGAGCTGGAACATGCATGATCGAAATAGTTGACAACATGTCGAAGTTTATACGCCTGCTAAACACACCCCAAAGCAATAAAGGTCTATCGTGATCAACACCTTGAAAAATGTGCAACTCTCGTGATTCACACGAGACCAACAAAGCTCAAACATACCCTGGGAGCGCAAGAAGCTTCGCGCGAGAAACCAACTGCATGACCGGCGCATGGGCAAGAGAACCAACAAAAAACGCATACCACCACCCACTCCACAACAGAATCGAACCGGTGTCATTTGTTTGCAGTATTTGCGGTTTGTGTTGTTCTTGGTGTTTGCTTTGTGCCTAGATGGACTATGTGCTTACCACCAAATGCACTGCATCAACTGCCCGAGCCCCTTGCTCCAAACCAAGGCTTCTGCTTTACGAGGGTGCCTTGAGTGCTGCATAAGCCAAGCTTCGAGTCACTGCCAGCACGGCGGGCGATCTCGGCTTCCAGCCGGGAGATGCGGTCCTTTAGAACTTGAATCGGAAGGTTTTTTGGATTGGGTTTAGACAGGGCGCAAGGTGCAGGCGTTCGGGACAGAGGGCCGATCTAGCTTGTCAATGCTTTCTTGGGCGGTGGTTCCATGGTCCTCGTAGGCGAGGGCCTTCTTCGCACACCGCGCCTGGTCGGAACGGGGGATCGAAGATCGCTGTATGTCGATGCATACAATGCGAGGGACTTCTTCTTCTTCGGGGACTTGAATCTTTCTAGGACCTAGGAGCCTCCCAAAATGAAGGAACCTCTGTTGAACCCCAAATAAATATATCCCAACTTTCTTAAACCTTCATCTTGAAAGCATGTCAAATTGGGTCCTCAGCCGGCGTTCAAGGCGTCGTCTCCCGTTTTTGGTGCCTCGAACTCCAAGAGTTTGAGCTCAGCCTCTTCCGCCTTCCATTCCTGCACCTTCTGCTCCATCTGCCAGGGGCCAGGGTTGAGAATATTCTGCATATTTCTATTGGCTCAGGCTTTCGGCCTCGTTAAGGGCTTAGGGCTTACGGTTTCCGGCTCAACCAAGTGTCAGAGTCGAGGGTTTAGGTCGTTTAGGAGTACCTGGACTCGAAACTTCAAATCCGGGGCCAGTGGGGCTTTGGAGTGCCAGTTCCGCGGGCAAGAAAGAAGTCCACCTTGTCTGTGAAGCTGCGCAGCCGCACGGATGTGTCCACCATCTCCTCAACATCCTGAGACATCTGGCGGATTGGGGGTTCCAAGGTTGCGGAACCTTCATCCAGAACTCGAGAGGCCTTCGAACGAATCGGGGAGCCAGAGTCCAGGCTGTCTGAAAGCACCAGCAGAACAGGCTTCAACCTCAACTCCCCCGACAAAAACAAGGGCTCCTCCGCGATGTCCTTACAAGCACTCCAAACCCTCTCGTTTAGAGACGTAGAGCTTCGAGCAAGCTCTCCTGCAATTCGAGCTTCGAAACCCTTCGAAGCGTTAAAACTTGGAGCCTAGCGGCCTAGCATTCCGGATGCTGTGAACGATACACGTTCTATGATGACTTATTGCTGACGGTGTTGTCATTGCTACGAAATTCTAACCTTCACTTAGTCTGTTGGTATCAAAGTTGTTTCCTATTCGGAAAGACTGACGCGTCTATCACGCGTTGTGTGTATGACTGCTGTTCCTGTTGCTGATGTAGCTGGGCTGTTGACGTTCTCCATTGAGCTGTGCCTATCATTGCGAGGCACTGATGGATTGTGCTGCTGCAACTGCAGTTGTTACCTGGGACTAGCATTGCAATCGTGCAAGCACCTGCTTGCAGTTATGACACGAGTCTCTCGAAGTAAAGAGAATCTAGACATCCACACAAGTGAATGCAGTTAAGCACTTGGTGGGAACATTTCGCCCTCACCTCGTGCGACTTATGGAAAGGAATGCACCATCATCAACCACAGCGTGAGCCCTTGAACTTGGAACCTTCGTGCTTCAGGGAGGAGCGCAGAGACCCTGGCGTCTGTCTCAGATACTCGAACTTTCAGAACACTGTGAAAGGCCGAAGCCCTCGAGAAAGACCATCGACTTAAGATTACCAGATGCATGATCCAAGCACCGAATCCTGCCCAAACAAGCCTCTTGAAACCGTGCTGGAAGTCCGAAACAAAGACCCCTGAGCACACGTGTTACTGGGCCCCCGGGCACAGCAATCTGTGTCCAGCAGTGCCCGGGTCAACAAGTCGCTTTCGTCTACTGCTACCTCCAAGGTAGCAGAAAAGCTCTGTACACGCTCACAACATCGTCATACTTCTCCTTTCCTGTCTAGCCATCGTTTGTCTAGCCATCGTTATTCCGCTCTGCCTCGCATGACCAGCATCGTCATCACCCTCAACAAAGCCTAAAATACTGCCGTTGTCGTCGGTTGCATATCGCGAGAAATTTCTCTGACCTATTTCAAGCACATGTTCATTACGTCAATTTGCCGCCTTGCGCAGTCTCCTGTTTCTAACACCTGTTCGTATTCATCTGCACGCGTACATAGATCATCAAACACATGTGCCTACCCCTGAGCTGAACGAGGACAAACAGGTCAAAACCGGGTCGGCACCGACAACCCGCTTACTCGTAAGACGACGACACATGTGAAATCTCGAGCCCCGAAAGTTGCGAAGCCCTCATCCCGTTTATTCACTTCTAATTTAACAGTGAGTAAGCCTCATGGTACCAAAGCTGACACCTGATATTCATATCAGGCAACAGGATTAGCAACAGATATCAGGAGCTGACATGGCAGGAATAAGGCATCAGCCAAAAAGCCAACCGAGATGTGTCTCCTCTTTCTCAGACGTGTCTGGCCTCCCAGGCTCCGCCCATGACAACTTCGATCCAGTCGAGCAAGCGCAACATGCTCGCAGGCTTGTCCTCCTGGCAAAGGGCGGGGTTTCCGAAAACAAGGGGCACTTTATTTTGGGGTTCTTATACTAAGGTCCTACTATGTAGGGTACCATATTAGGGTCCCCTGTTTTCGGAAGCCCCAAGTGGAGCTCTGCACGGGAGTTTTTATATATCCCCGCTTCATGTATCAAATTGTCATAGATAGACACCTCGGCACCTGACCTAGATGGGGGATGCGTCGCAAAATGGTTGCATAGGACTTCTGTTTGAGGTTGTCCTGGTGTTCTACACTCGTTTTACAGGATACCTCGTCCTGTGCGAATGACTCACTCTCAGAAGGCGGGAATCCCGCCTGTGCTTGGATTGATTGAAGTAGAGCTCTTCGGGCGCTGAATCACACGCGTTAGCCACCATCACCATGCCCTCACCTCCCCGACACTTCTTTCTTTGCTGCTCCTACTGCTCTTCCGGGATGTACCCTAAACCCTCAACGCTCTATTGAACTCCTCGCCACTGCTTGGGAGCAAAGTGCTGAGGTCCTTGAAGTGCTCGGCTATGGCCTCTGCTGCTAGCCGGAGGGGCTCGCTGCTCCTGCAGCTCTGATGGCCACGCTTGCATGAGAATAGACAAATATCTGAAAGCAAGGAAAAGCTTGATGCTAGCTTTAAGTTCGGCGCAGTTACCACCGAGGATAACACCATGTCACAAATGGTGCATGCCGCTTCTGTGAGCTCTTGGACTGCAAAGTGTATTTTGCAACAACAATAACCAGGCTCACCTCAGGGTCCAGAGCAGGGATGATGACGATTGGGAGAAGCAGTGCTGGACGCTGTCACAGACAGCCCGGAGCCTGGACGGAAGGACACATTCGATGCTCAAAGTTCGATTGCCAGGTGAGCGAGCCGCAGCTAAAGCTTGTAACCCTCGCTGAGTCTCCTAAGAAAAGACGATATACGGAACTGCAAAGAATGGAATATCACTCGCATTTGAGCCCTGGCACTCTAGACTTGCAGCCAGGATCCCAGACTTCTCCTAGCCAGGCAACCATCCCCACAAAGAAGCTCCGGGGTCACCACCAAGCGATCATGGAAATCGGAGCAGGACATGCATTCGTGGTTTCGGGCAGAGAGAGAGAGCTCGAATCTAGAACGTCAGGTTTGGAGATCGGCGATTGAGGTCTTCTGCAGAATCCATTCGAAAACTTCCTTGCGCTCTGCCCTAACTTCGCCTAAATGTCAGATCACGCGCGACAGTCTACACGCCATAGGCATGCCTGGCACATCGGGATACAAGTTTCTGGAAGGGCTGCAGTTTTGCCCACTTGTCATCGTGGCTTCTGAAGTCGTGCCCCGGCTGCTTCTGAAAGTTGTCTTGACAACAAGACTGACAATGATAGCATCTCCCTGCATATGAGAGTGACGACGGAGATGATAGTGAGGATGGTGCGAACATGTAACATGTGGTGATCAAGATGATTGTTCCGATTGCTGCCGTTAAAGCTGACATGCCAAGAATGGGTTGCCGGGCTCCGCACGTCGCCACCGGCTCCTTCCGGAAACAATGCATGAAGTCGCAGTGTTTCACGGAGCCCGGGATCAGGCGCAACAGAGCCAACATTCAGAACTAACGAAATGGAGCGTTGAAAGTTTACATTATGGGACAACGAGACTGACATGACACGGCTCCTGCACGAGGGTTTCGCACAAAGTGCATCCCCCACTGTACCCCCTTTTGCAAGCTGCAGGCTAGTCCACCACCGGGCGTTGACAAGAATAATAATAATAATAATAATAATAATAACAATAATAATAATCATACAACTGCAACTTCTGCTCTGCCAATGCGCCGACCTCGCCAGTCTGCGGCTTCGGAAGATCTGCGATGAGGCCGAAGGCCTCCCCCCATGAGATCGTAGGCGGAACCCTATCCTTCCAAGGATATCGTAATAGTCATGATAGTATAATTAATGGTCATACCCTGCCCGGGTTCCAAAAAGGGATCTCTAAGGATCCCTATAAAGATTTTTCGAAGGGTGCTGTCTAGTTAGGGCCCTAGACCCCTTTAAGGACCCAATAATAAGGTCCCTGGAGGCATTGGGGAAGGGCTGGGACTGACATGCTCGATTTTTCGGACAGGCGCAGTTCGGATCGCATAACGAGGAATCCTTGCAAAAACTGTTAGTTTTATGATCTTTGACGGGAGAACCGACTGTAAGCCCTCCATTCTCTATTGGAGGCGTCTAAGAAAACACCCGAGGGCCCGAGACTCTCGCGGAAGGCTAACCTCAAGCTATGCACCTCGGCCATGATGATGAAGCAGCTCCTGGTCAGTCAAAGGCCCACAGAAGCTGGTGCAGGAGTATTGGGGTCTTGCGTTTCAGGGCCGACAACAGATCTCCTAAGAAGTGGACTCAGACCAGTCTGCTGATGACCCAGTCACCCAGGACGGAAGTGCCTGCCAAGCTTGTCGTCCATGAGCATGCTGTATGGCGCCTGCACGCACGTGCACGCGCGCACACACTTCTGCCATGGGCTCAAGAAGTTGCAAGCGGGGGCAAACAAGACATCTCAGCGTTTCTCCTGAGTCAAGACCTGGTCTCAGAGCACATCCGGGTGTCCTCTCGCCTGGGGTCTCGTCAGGCGCGAAGCCTCTCAGACTGCCCTCTGTATGCATGTGGACTCAGGTCAACCCGGGATCAGCGAGGTGTGTGGTTGCTTCTTTCCAATGTGGTGCCCAAACGTAGAGCTGGCAAACAGCAGGCCTGCTGTAGTAGAGTATTGATCCGCCCGCCCGGCACACCCATCCCCGGGGACTCCTCCAAGAAATGCTACTCTGTCTCAAAAGCCGCAGAACTTCACAGAACTTCCCACCAACTTCGAGAATTGACCGGCCCCCGTCGGTTCAAGTTCTCACAAAGCCTTATGTGTTCCGCAGGCTCATCGACAAGACAGTCGATGCAATCACCCCGCCTAGGATCGAGCAGAGGACACAAAGTGCATGGCCTTCGTCATAATATGGCAGTCCGGTCCATGAAGATCGAACACAAAGCTTCTTGAGTGCGAGGTTGCAACAAAGGCTGCTGGCCTGCACCGTGACTAGCCAAATGATGATTGTCCTCCACATTCGCCAGCCAATCTTCTCATCCGGGCTGCTGCCCCTAAGCCAAGCAAGGCTACTCCATGCCAGCTGCACTGCCAGCAATCCCACAAGAAGTCCAGATGTAGCTCTCAGTATGGCCTGAAGCTTCGCAGCTGTGTGTGCAACATCGGCAAAGAGCCATGTCCAACCAGACGAGACAGCCCAGCTCAACCAGCCTGTCGATGTGCCGGATAGATAGCTAGGGAACGCTCGCCGCGCCAGGCCATCAGCCTTCAGCGTCCACTCGCAATCTTGCAGATGTCTCGAAACCACGTAGAGATACTGAATAGATCCCACCATCGCTCCCGTGACGAGGCTTAGCAGAAATCGCCAGGCAAACAAAGCCCCGGAGTTCGAAGCTCTTTTGCCCGGGCCCGTCTCAGATTCGGAGCCCTGGCTCGCAAGACGGAGCTTCCCGACGGCTGGCAGTTGCCGGGCTCTGTGGACACCATGATCTCGGAGGCTACGGTGGCTCTGAAGCAGCGGCTGGCGAAGTGTGGAGGGTAGAAAGCAGATCGTGCCGGACAGGAGCAGTAGCCCAGAGCAGCGCATCAAAGCTCCATTCACAGCTCTGCTTGCAGCCGCCATTGGAAACTGTGAGGCTGCTCGACAGATCTTTGTGTCCCCTCGATCCCAGAAAGCTTACAACAAGCCCGACACCTTTCTTCACAACTTGGCTGCTCTTTCGTCTGGCTGTTACGGATGAGGTTCGAGCCAAGCACTTCGTTCTTGGCAGCATTCCGCTTTGAGGTGTGAATCCTTTCTGGGGTGCAGGGTTCAGGGCAGAAGGATCTCGAAGTAGAAGTATGCTCGGACACTCAAGCCAGGACACTGTTTTGGCAGAATATTCTCCTGATATTGGGAAGCCCACGGAACACTACTGGAATGCTATCAATGCCTTTGTCTTAGTAGATCGACTGCTTGTTCGTGGCAACCGTGCCCACAAGACCCGCAAGCACCAAACAGAACAAAGCACAACATCTCACGCACAGAGCTGGCAGTGTGATGCTGCTGATCCGCATTGTTGGCATTGCTTTAAAGTTGTGGTGGCTATCTTCAATAACTGGTCGTGAAGTTCTGAAGGGTGCAGCATGGGAAATCATGCTGTGAACGATAACTGCTATTCCACGTCTTCCGAGACTTGGACATCTTCTCTATCTTCCCATACTACAGGCTATACATCGTCAGCCTGAAGCCCAAAACCTGGAAATCGAACGTACTAGCCCGAACTGAGTACAAATTCCATGGTGGGTCCCTTGCTTCTTCGCTTGCAGTCTCAGGGATACTCGAACCCTAAACCCTAAACCCTAAACCTTAAACCCTAAACCTTAAACCCTAGACCCTAAACCCTGAACCCTAAACCCGTACTCCCCTACGGCCTCGGAGATCATGAATCGAAGCGCTTCGGCGCAGCCCTCGTCCTCAGAATAGCCAGTCCAGGTGCTGGCTACTCACTTTTGGGCTAGGATTTAAGCTTAAGGATTTAGGGTTAAGGATTTAAGGTTTAGGGCTTACCTAGAGGCTCCATATTTAGATTCCTATAATCTAACTAAGCTAGGGGCCTTCATAATTAGAATAGGGTTTTGGGGCCCAGTATAGTATACCCTAAGGCTCCATAGGAGCCCAGTATTGTATACCCTGAGGCTCCATAGTAGTTCGTTTGGGGGGTTCATATTTAGATTCCTATAAGGTAATCCCAACAAGGAACCACTATGGAGCCTATGGGTAAGTTGGGGCTTGGGGCTAATGGCCGCTGCGTATTGAACTATGTGACAGGATCCTGACCGGCATCCAGCCTGCAAGACTCCGTGCTCGAAACTGCAAAGACCAACCAACCAACTCAAAGGACCCAGGGTCAAGCTACTTGAGCACTGCAGTTCTGCTCCGTATCTCTGCACTGTCCGTCAATTGAGCAACAGTCAGCCTGGGGCTCGATCCAGCTTTCGGGCTCGGCATCCACTGCCTTCCGCGACTTCCTGCTTTGCACCCACGACAGCTTCAGGTATTGAAGTTCAACAAGAAGGTGTTGCGAGGTTCTCGTGTTTTGAGTTCCTTCATGGATGGTTGAAGCCTGCTGTTTTTTTCCGGAGTGCGGACTAAGTACGAAAACCTGTGAAGCTGTGTGCATCTTTCGCTATCCTGGACAGCGAAAAAGGCTTGCTTGGAAGGATAGTGCCCTAATGAGAGAGGCAAGCCATCTATGCTGCGTGCTGATGCCCATGAGCTTCAAGCAGTTGATCTTGCCGGGGCTTCGAGTTCAAGATCCCAAGACCGGCATATCAGACTGCTGGTGTTACGGATTTAGTAAACGACAGCTGCCAGGCCCAGTAATGCATGAACCCTGTGATTCCACGCCCTGTGCTGCCGTGTGTCGTGGAGTGCCTGACTGTTGCGAAACATCCTGCCTAATCACTAAACGGTTCTACTTAGTACCACTATCGTGTGACCGAGATTCAAGACCGAGAACAGGTGAACACGAATATTGCAATAGCGACGATGGCGGTGACGGCTTTGAGCACCGATACCAAGAAGCAGCGAGCATCCAAAAGCTTCAAAAGCCTCAGAACCCTCATGCAACTTGTACCACAGAACACTCAACCCTAAACTTCAAGACACACAAAAACCTCAACCCATGAGCCTGAAGCCCCTCACCCCCACACCCCTAACCCCCTCGATGCTTCGGCCTCTATCTTCACATCCTCGCCTTGTGCCAGGGCTTCCCAGGTTTGGTCCTCCGACTTCTGCAGTCTCTGCTTTGGCTTTTCCACAAGAGCACAAGGCCACCACTATAGCTTCACTGGTGGTGATCCTGGAAGCTGTGTATGGGGTAACCTTTGAAAACTGCCTACAGTCACGTGAAGGTTGTATGACATGAAGTCCTCTCTCTCGGCTTTCGTTCCGAAACCTCGAAGATAAGGGCAAAAGAAAACCGACAGCCCAACTCCCTTTGTTCCTAGCAGGCAGCACCTGCGCAGCCTCCCGGACACACTGCACCGCCGCCTCCATTCAGGATTCCCGTGTGAAAGCTTCGGGCATGGTGGTTGAAAGTGTCGTGCTTCTCAGGTTCCGGAGTTGCGGCGGCCCATCCCCCAGGACGCGGGCTCCAATCTTGACTTTCTGAAACAGGCCAGCTCGTTTCTTGACGACTGAGATGGGAAAAGGCATGAGCCGAGACAGGTATCGAGTCGAAGCTCTACAGACAGACATGGATTCGCAGGATGTAGGCTGCGCCCACTCGGAAAGCATGTGATTTGCGGAAGGACGCCTGGAGAAAGGCTCGGAAGACTACACCAGCTGTCGTACAGAGCGATACAGGCCAAGATCATGCGAAGCATATCAAGAACACCATGAACATTACCGGGCTTAGGAGGAGGGACGGTGACGGAATCGATTATGAAACAGGCGCAAATAAACATGCCGCCGTTTGAAGTCCAGTGGGTTTAGTGGAACAACCGCACGCCTGTGGACGCGAGATGCCATAACACACCTAATTACCACCACTGTAAGCAATGGTCGCAGTTTGGGCATGCTAGAACCTGCAGTGTCTACGACCCTAGGAAAGCTTCCAGTTCTAGTCAAATCGGCATCGAGCGTCTAGGTCAGGGTTGCATCGAACATGCGTCCTTCGAAGCAGCCTGGCAACCTCTCTAACAAACTGCGCAAGTGGTAGTCGCATGAAGGGTTAAATGGGCCAAACATGGCAAAACAGCTTACAAACACAATCGAAGCTACGAGCAAGCTTTCGTGCTGAAGCTATCATTAGTTAAGGAGGGCATGGGCCTCGACCCGAAAACTTAAAGCGGTGAGCAAACCAAAAAAAAACTGAAGCCCAACTGAAATTATGATGCCCGATATAAACAATTAGGGCCAGCTTCGGGTCTAACGTTGTCTTTTCAAGCTTCTGAAAGCTCCAGAAGCATCCCAACCCTTGCACCTCACAACAGTTCGCTCTCAAGCACTACACCTCGCAAGACCCCTAAACCTCAAGACGCATCTGAACTTCCCCGTTGGCCACAACCTCGCAGAGTATGGCGGCAAAAGTCTGCCTTGCACGGGTGAAAGGGTGAAAGCAGGGCTTGTGGGTTTTGAGACGTTGCGGACTTAGGGACTCGGGGTTAGACACTGGAGCCATAGGGTTTAAGGAAGGCATGTGTTCTGCATCAAGCTCGCTGTCTGTTAAAACTTGACCTCTGATCCTCCTTGGGTCCTCGGATGCATAGTTTGGGTGTTTAAGATGTGCACTGCCGAGTTGTATTAGGCTAAGGCTCACGATGTATGGTTCAACGCCGGAGGCCTCCCCCACATCTCCCGCTCACGCACAAACCCTGCGTGAGGCGCAGAGGCCCGGAAGAACATCAGCAGCAGCAGCTATTGCTGTTGCTGAACAGCCTTGTCCGCGACAACCTTCAAAACTCAAAGCTGCCAGCACCCTAGAGAACCACAACCCTGATCACAGTATCTTCGGCACTTCTCCTGCTTTCCTGCAGCCTTTGGAACTTGGAACCCTTCATGCTCACAAGCGCAGTAGTCTCAGCCATGCTACCAAAACACTAAATATAGGGGCCTTCATAATTAGAGTAGGGTTTTGGGGCCCATTATAATACTATAGGTATAGTCAGGAACCCCTACAATAGTATAGGTAATTCGTAAGACCCCTATAGTAACTCTCTGGCTAAGGCCTCGATTCGTCGCAGTGCATGAAGCTGGCCCCCGCTCTCAGCCAGAGCTTCAGCCGATCGGTGCTTGGGGGCCACCACCTGGAAAAGGCTCTGGGGAGCTTTTAGAGTAGTTTCCGAAAATAGGGGACCCCGATATAGTGCCCCAAATAGAAGGATCCTGATTATAAAGACCCAAACATAGGGTAACTCTAATGTTCAGAAACTCCCGTAGGGCTGTTTTTAGGACTTGGGCTCCTAAAGTTTTAGGAGCAGGGGAGTGTTGAAGCTCTTAAGCTGGGGGCCTTTGGAGAAGGCCTCTCGGGGATGCCAAGTCTCTGTCCATGCTTGGTATTCGTACTTATTGGTATTCATGCGACTCACATTGGTAGTACCCGTTGTGATACCATCATGTCAGCATTTTGAGACCGAAGACAATCAAGGTACCAAGGCCGAAACACTGATGGTGGGCGGTTGGCCCCCCCTGGCCGTATGGGCTCTTCCCCAACTCTGCAAACCACAAACCCTGAACTCCAAAACAACACTGAACCCCTGAACCTCTAAACCCTATAAACCGTTAGCCCGAAACCCTAACGATTCCGATCTCACAACCCCAAAAGCTGGATCCCGACCTTGCCCGCTCCTGTCGCTCGGATTTCTTTCTTGCCTCCTCCTGGTGGGTTGAGGGGGTCAAGGTAACCCTAAACCCTAAACCCTAAACCCTAAACCCTCCTCCTGGTGGGTTGAAGGTTTGGGGCTTAGGGTGCTGGGTTGGAGGCTTCTCTGGCAGGGACTCCGGGAGTGCCGTGGAGGCTCCGAGGTGTCGGTATGTAGGGTTACAGCATGTCATGTCATTGTTTGGTATTTTCTGCCTCCGGATTTTGGTAGGTACTTTTCGCATACAGCGCTAATTTGCCTTTACCTACCAGCAGCAACAGGTAGCAGTATACTGCGTCCTAGCTGTGGTGCAGTATGTAACTGTGTATGGTTGTTTATAACTTCACGTAGTACTGTATGATTCGATATAATTCTGCAATCACACTATACTACATAACAATAGTAGTTTACAACCCCCCCGAACCATGCCGAGATGACGCTATATAGAAAGAGAAAGAAAGATGTCAGCCTCGGCTCTCGTTGCCATGATCTCCTCGGAGGAGTCCGGCTCTGCATCCGAAGCCCTTTTATCCTCCGGCAAGAGGACGAGTCGGGGGTGAAAGGGAGGCATTTGGCGAGGACAACGAGACGAAGCATCGGACGTCTGCGGGGGGGGGGTATTGTTTAGGGTTTTGAGCTGAGGGTGCAGAGCTTAGGATCTGATGATCTTGTTTGACTCAAGAGTTTACCGTTTGGGTCTAAAGTGGTCTAACTTGAATCTTTTGAAGCAGATGCAGCAGCTTTGCTTTTCAAACGATACATGCAGAAGAGGATCGTCGGCTCCTACTTTGATAAAGGTGGCTTCGGCTCACGACAGCGCACACTTCAAGAAGCAAGAAAGAAAGATAAGACCATAACAGCGGATGATGTGAACGAGTTTCTGAGGAAGAACGTGGAACAGAAGCGAAAGCCAACAGGACAGAACTCCTTTGTAGCACCCAATGCTACCATGAGTTTCAAAGTGAGTTGTTTTACTAATGATATACCAAATCAAGATTTTAGGGTAGGAAGGATTTGTATAGATGCATTAAGTAAGTATATGAACGCAGTGCAGATTTCATCCAAACAGACACCGGACATATTAGCAAGTGTTATGGAAAACATAAAGATGGATGGGAAGCCCCGACTACTTTATAGAGGGCACCGAGCATTCGCCGAAAGGGCAATGAGAACATTTAAGGATATGCTTTATAAGAGGGTTGCAAATGATGAGAAAAAGGGTAATTCAATATTCAATGGGGTGATTATTTACTTGAGATAGTATTGACATATAACACCGCTATGAAGCACTCATCTCATGGACTAGAACCCATATAGAAGCCTGCAAGAAAAAGAACAAGTTACATGTTAAACTGAAGTTGTCAATGAACGCTAAAAAGAATCGCGTCTATCCTGAACTGGATGTTGGTGAAACGGTTAAAATATGATGAAAAGAAAGCCCAATTCAAAAGAACGCCTTGGAAATTTCACGCAAAACCGCTACACAATAGAGAGACTTGATTCGAAACTGGGGCAACAATACTATTATATGACGAGGGAACGAAAGAGCATACTTAAAGCACGAGTTGTTAAAGGTTTGATTGATGCCGTGCTCTTTGTATGTTGAGCGCTGCTTGTGTTCCTGGTGTTCAGTTTTGTTCACGTGCGGCTTGAAACATAATTGATGTCTGTAGCCTTCAAAAACAAGTCGTGGGCTTCGCCTTCGGTTTACATTTTGGCTCTAGGGCTTAAGCGGAAACCTTCCCGGCCTACAACATCATAAGTTCCGACTAGAATGGGTTGAGCCTTCACTGCGGTTGAGGGTTCTATCTCACCTAGGCGATAAATATTGACAGAATGTCAGGACATTCCTACACGAACCACCAAGCTGGCATTCCTACAAGAACCCATGTGAACTCTGTAGGGATTTGAGGGACGAGCCTGTACGGAATCCCGACTGCTTTGACTCAAGCTGCGCGGAGCAGTGCGCAGTCTCGCGCCAAACGAGGACTCTTTTTGTGTCAGCCTCGCAGAAAAACCCTTCTAAGCCTAGCCCATATGTTTGGGCTTTTCCAACAACTGTATCGCGGCACGCGATGCACCACCGAGGCTGACAACACCCTTCAGCGGCATGAGAATGAAAGTCTGCCAAAGTGAAATGCTTGCCGCAGTAGAGCTCAAGTCATGGACTCGCCAGTATTGCAAACTTACTAGGATTTTGGGAGACTGCGATTGACGAAAAGAGTCACTCTACGACCCAAGCCCCGAACCACCCAAAAAGTCCATAAATTCCATCAACCTAGGCACGCCCATTGGGAAGATGGTCTTTAGATAGCCCTATTTCATTAGGCTTATTGATTATAGGTGTAAAAGTGTAGAGGGGGGTACGAGTTGCAAGACCATCTAGCCGATGGGCGTGCCCTCCGCTAACTTCGAAACCTCCTCCCCCTTCCCGCCCCCATGAATCATGCTTGATTGCTGCCGAGCCTGTGGCGAGCCCTCGTCTTGGCCCTGCAGCTTCCAAGCTTATGTGGGGGTAGTCTTGGGCTCAGGTTTGCAGCTCAAGAACTTCGTGGCGGAGAGTATCCTTCTTTGCAACTTAAACCCTTACTTCCTTGCAAGCAACTTAAGCAACTGACTTCCCAAGCCAAAAAATGAAAGGCCTAAGTCCGAACCGTCAACCCTCCCAACCCCAAAACCCAAAGTCCAAAGCCCAAAACCAGCCTCCATCTTTGCCGCCTCGGCGGCTAAGGCCTCTGCAACAGCCTCCTCCGCTTCCGCGATCTGCCCAGGTTTTATCTTACCTCTGGTTAATCGGGAATGGAGGAATGGGGTACAATAATAACTACTATTACTACTTCCCTACTAACCAAAGGTAAGTTATGTAGGCCCGAGGGGAATCAAGCTGCTTAGTCTAAGCACCTGAAGAATTAAGACCCCTGAGGAGACCCTTCCAGACCCTGGACTCTTCGATCCTTGGGCAGCTCGCGAGCCGTAACCCCAAGCCCTAGACCTTAATTCAAACACAAACCTGAGCCTAACCCTGCAGCCCAAAACCCCACACGCAAAGTGGAAAAGAACACGCGCATCAGCAGACCCCACCCGTCTATACATTGCGAACATTACAGATTCCAAATCCTACACCCACCAAGCAACCAAGTCCTAGATCCCTTAATTTCAATCCTTAAATCCTTAAACCCTACATCAAGAATCCTTGAGCCTGAATCCAAAGCCCTAGATCCCGAACTAACGTCAAACCCCAAGCGCGAAAAACCTACATCCTAAACTCCCAACCCCCAATTCGAAACTCCTGAATAAGGGGCCTCGGTTCTATCTCAAGCAATGAAAAAAACACTGCCGACTGGGGAATGCCCAGCCTTCAGCCGCCTCCCACTGTCCAGCCGCGCAGCCAACCCGGATCCAGGTGGTCTGAGCTCGATCTCGAGGAGCTGGCAGCAAGGCTTCAGCGCAGCAAGGGGGGGCCCTTGACCAATATATGGGCCTTAACATATATATATATATATACATATATACCTGCATGCATACATACACATGACAGCTCCATTGCAGATCCGTTAAAGCTCTGTTAATTGCAAATCTGCTGCCCGGCCCATTGGCCCAACACTTGTCACAACAAAGTCCGAGCATTCCAATCGTTGCAACGAAGGGTTTCCAGATCTTTATTCAAAACATCTCCGAAATTTGTAAACGAGAGGTCTCCAATCATACCCAGCAGAGCGGGCAGGTCCCCGACACGGTCAGGCTCAAACCCAACATTCAAACAGCCGAGAACAGCTCGTGGATGTTGGCTTTCGGGTTGCAGTTTCAGTGATGCCGTGCCTTCCTAAAGGTGTGAGAAAACTCGGGCGGTTGAGTCTGAACCTGTGTAGGACATTTGGGGCTTGTCGTTGATGCTTGCTTATGTGACCATAGGCTAAAGTGGACAGTGGACACGGAATTGTACATTGCTGTAGACTTAGGGCCGTGGAGGCGCGAAGGCGATAGGGTCTGAGCGTTGGTTTAACGTACTGATCTCGTCTTGGGGTCTATCACCCCGAAACAAAACCTTTCTTAGTCGCCTCAAACCCTGACCGCTGTCGAATATGTGTCATTCATCTTATACTCCAACAACACTAAAACCGTACCCGTGCGTCCATGGAATCGGATGTCAAGGATGAAGCCCTAGGCCTGCACTCCGAAGCCCTAAAGCTTCTCGACAATGGTATGCCGCTGGGGCCCCGCAAAAACACTTCCAAGACTATCAACCCGGCAGCCTACGACAGCAACACCCAACTTATCCATCACGAAATACAAGAGCTCAAGACTCAGATGAAGCCAACTATGCCAAGTCCAGTCCAGAACCGGGATCACCATGCTTTTGATGCGCTGCAAGGTGCAGATGGAGCTTGACGCCTCTGTTCTCTAAGGCATCCCGATCCAATAGTCTCGCACGGAGGTGGAGTCTGGAGCCAGTGGGAGCTCGATGCAGCTCCAGCTTGCTGCACGCTGCCGCAGAACACATCCGGCCAAAAAAGCGCGTGAACTTGAGGTTGGGCTTCAAGGCGGCACGTCAGAATCAGTCGGCCGTGGGGTTTTGCAACATCTGCACCGCTCACTGCGCCCAAAGCAGTGAAGGCCACAGGAAGGACAGCGCCAATCTCCGGGCCACTCCAAAGATGAGGCCACCGACGGAATGAAGCGCCCATCCAGGCCTTCGGGAACACTGACCGTGCGGAGTTGGAGCTCCCCAGCGTTCCTACTCCTGCGAGACCCGACTATTGCAGGCATTCTCTGAAGCAGTTTCTGTAAAGCTGTCGAGGCCTGTTTCGAGACTCCATCCCTCGGAGAGGAACTTGGGCTGCAGGGCATTTACGAAAGCCTCACGCCAACTTCGCAAGAAGGCCCGAAGTGACTCCTCTGCAGGTGGCTGTGGTGGGCAGACTTGGCTGCAATTTCGGTTCGCGTTTGTTTACAACCTTTGGCTGGTCCCCTCGAGCTTTCGATGCGCTTTCTTATCAGGGTTGCTCTTGAGATGCGAGACATGGGGTGTTTTAGCTCACAAACTTTCAGGCCCGAGAGCAAAAGCCCCCATGCGCCAGCTCATGGACTTTAGGGTTTAGGGTTTAGGGCTTCAGTGAGTTCTGTGCACGAAACGCAACAGTACGACCTTAAGCCCTAAACATTCGAAGTCCCAAAGCCCCGAAAACCTCAAACCGACAGCCTTAAACCTGAACCCCCAAGCCCGACACCCTAACTCCCTCGGATCCTAAACCCTAAAACCCTAAACCCCAAACCCTAAAATCCTAAAACTCCAAACCCTAAAATCCTGAACCCTAAAACCCAAAACGCCAAGGCGCTGAACTCGCCATTGCCTCTTCCACAACCCGTTCGCTGGGAAGGCGGCCGGCACCCAGGCTTTCTGCAAAGGTGAAGGATGCCTCTAACGTAGCAACATTATAATTATATATATGTACATAAAAAGATATATATATATATATATACATATATATCATAAAGATGATAATACAGGTATACAATATAGAACAAACATAGATGACGACTGATAGCGACATAGGTGTAGACTTGGGGGCTCTGAGGTTCAGGGATATCAGGGTTCGGGGCTTAGATTTGAGGTTTGCGTGCACGGTGTCGAGTAGTCCCTTGACGAAGTATGACAGATATCTAGTTGCCGAGACCTACCCAGAGGCCCCAAAGTAGTTCCTTTTTGGGGTTCATATATATATATATATATAATACTATTATATATATATATATATGTATATATGTATGAACCCCAAAAAGGAACTACTATGGGGCCTTTGCGTAACTTTGCCGGATGGTAGTACTAGGCTCCTGGCATCGGGGGGGCTTGGGTTCGGCTCCGGGTGCTAATCGACGAAGCACTCCGTTGTGTTGGGTTTAGGGTTTAGGGTTTAGGGTTTAGGGTTTAGGGTTTAGGGTTTAGGGATCACTAGCTCACCTACTTTGCAGATGTTAGGGGCCTATGATTCGGGGATCGGGGTTTGTTTAGCAGTTTCTTGGCCGCGGTGGAGCGGCTTTGCAATGGGTTGGCTCTTTGATGTTTTCTTCTGCCTGCTCTAACTTCATATACCGCGACGAGCAGACCACGATTGGTGCTAGTCGTCGTACTGCAGCAGCAGCTTTGGAGTTCCATCATCATGGTCGTCGTCGTGGTTGTCCTTTTGCTGCTCCAGCTGGTCGCAACCGTAGTTTGTTTCGACTTATTCAGGAACTCGAAGTTACGGCGGTGCGTTGGTAGTTGCTTGGCGCTTGGACTTCGGGGTGTCCCTGAAAATTTGACCCTCTGCCTGCCTGGATTTGAGATTGGTGTCCCGAGGCTTCCAGGATTCGGTGGCTTCCGGGCTTGTCACAGTTGAATCTCCTCGTCCATCCGCCCATCCACATTTGCGTCCATCCAACCAGTTGTCGATTGCGTCCATCCATGCATCCATCCATCCATCCATCCATCCATCCATCCATCCATCCGCGCATCCATCCATCCACCCTTGCGTGGATCCATCATCATCTCTACACCTACAATCTGATGCAACATCGTGAGCGCCTATGATACATCACGAATCATGTTATATCATGAACCTCCAGAAGCATGATGACGACAGGCCTTTATGAAGATACGCTCAGGAACGTGTAATCTCATCATGGAATGTCAGCAAGGGACGGAGCATCATGGCGTGGCTTCAAGTGCTTGAATTTACAGCTGTGTTGGCTTCAGGAGCTGCGATGACTCAAAAAACTGACCCGCAAGACTCCAGTCTAGTCAATGTATCTGCCATGCAATGCGCCACTGTGAGCTCAAGCTTAAGAGATCCTACATCAGTTCCGTAATCTCCGCAGAGAGAGGGTTAAGACTGAAGGCAGAGTTGAAGCTTTGGGGCAGCAGGAACTTATTGTAGGGCGCTTGGCGCTTTACTCAAATCTCCAAATCATCGCCTCCCCAAGATCTTCCACGGCCACCCCCAGTCCTCGGCTGTCGTCTAGATTGGGAGGCAGCACCACCGAAAACAAAGTTCTAGATCCTAGACTTTAAGCCCAAGAATCCAGCAGCCACTGCCTCTCTCAAGGCTTGCACTTTGTTCGGCAGGAAGGGCTTGGTCCCACCTTTCCGCAGCGTGATGGCCGCCTTCTTGGCGGTGATCTGTGCCTGTGTCAAAGCATTCTCGTTGGCATAAAGGGACCCGGCGCGAAGGGCCCCATGGGATGCTAAGAGCTCTTGTGTAAGTGACATCTGCGCCGGTTCGGCAACGGCTCGGCAGCGAGGACACAGCATGACAACATCATGGCAGTTGTAGGATTTGCAGGTCTCTGGCAAGTGGGAAAAGAACACCTTCGGGACGATGTAGTAACGAGCAACTCCATAAGAGCCGCAGCCCACGCATGCATTCCTCTCAGCAGCATCCAGGCCAGCGTACTCATAATGATCTGTTGGAGTGAAGTTGAGTCGAACGACTTCGACACCTCCCTCCTTGGAGATTGAAGCCATGCCTCGTCTCACTAGTCCATCCACAGTGCGATCTTTCATGTGCATGAGCGGCTTACCGTCACTTCCAAGAATCGTTCGCATTCCAAACTTCGTCACGCAGGAGTAGGCCCCACAGTCCAAAGTTGCCTTCAGCCGACCACCATCAATTCCAGGTGCAAATGGATCCTCCGAGCATGCCTTCCTCACTTTCCCCGGCTTCGGATCTTTTCCTGCTTTGTCCAGCAGTCCTTGGCACCAATCAAGCAGCTGCGCATCGGTTGGCTTATGCTTGCTGGCCAGCGCGGCTGCACAGTCCCGGCCGGCCAGTGCATCCCTGGCAGCATATGCAAGCTGGTCAGGGGAAAGCGGGCGTTCAGCCCAGTTGGAACGGCGAATAGATGCATCTTTGGGAAGATCGACTCCCAGCAGCTGCTGTGTCAAAGCAGCAAGCCCGATGGGCTGCGTTTGCCTCACCTCCCCCTCCCTTGCAGCCAGCCGCGCCAAATCGACACAGCCCCGGAGCTCGATCTGGAACTGCTCTTTTAGCAATTCTGCATCCAGACCCACAGCTACCCCAACCTTCAAGTACTGCGGATCCTGAAAGAGTCTCAGGAGGGAAGGGCAATCCTGGAGATGAACCTCCGGAAGCAAAAACAGTAAGCATCGACCATTTGTCGCCAACTGCACAAGAGCCACTTCACCCTTGGAGCCCCACTCTGTGTCAAATCCAACGATGCATGTCTCTGAAGTTTCACAAATATCTTTGGCTGCCTGCTCAGCAGCCGATGAGGAGGTGACAACAGCTACCTTCTCGGTCCTGCCATTCCAAGACACTTCGACGTCCATGGAAGCCATGGCTCAAGCCGGAGAGGCCGAGAACCCAGAAACCCTGATCTCATCGAAAGGTGAAACAGAAATCTGCCCGTTGCAACTGAACTGAGTATCTGCAAACCGAGATACCACACAGTCCTGAAACGAAAGTTTCTGAAAACTAGGGGTACCTTCTTTTGGGGACCGTCTAAAAAGGATCCTACCACTTAGGGGACTAAATAGGGTCCCCTATGTTCGGAAACTCCCATACTTTTGGAATACCTGGGGAGCAGGTCGGTGGCAACGGGCCTCGTTGCCTGGCACTTCCCTCGTGTTTTTGAGGGACTCGAAAGTGCCAAGCCCGGGGTCACACAGATCCTAAGCCCTACTAACTACCACGGAACCCTAAACCCTACTCCTTAGTGCTTCGTAGGGAATGGGGGACTGGATCCGTACAGTAGTCCCTACATAATCCCCACTACAAGTCCCCATAACCCATTCCCCCATTCCCTACAAAGAACCAGAGCGCCCAACGTCCTAAACCAAGGGGGGCCAGGCTTTCTGGATGAGGGACCCCAAAAAGCACATAAGCATAAGCATTTTATGGGGATATCCCTACCTTATTGGGCTTCATTATAAGGGCTTCAATGTCCCTAAACCCTAAACCCTAAACCCTACCTTATTGGGCTTCATTATAAGGGCCTATGGTTGAGGGATGCCCCAGGCAGCGGGGGCTTCGAGAGGTCGGGAAGGCCTTCACCGCCTGCTGCTGGATTGCTGCGATCTTGTCCTGGGCTCTTGTTATAAGGGGTTTGGTTTAGGTTTAAGGGGTTTAGGGCTCTTGTTAAGGGGCTTAATTTAAGTTTAGGGGCTAAGGAGGTTTAGGGCTCTTGTTAAGGGGCTTAGCTTAAGTTTATGGCTAAGGGTTTAGGGCTCTTGTTAAGGGGCTTAATTTAAGTTTAGGGGCTAAGGGGGTTTAGGGCTCTTGTTAAGGGGCTTAGCTTAAGTTTATGGCTAAGGGTTTAGGGCTCTCGTTAAGGGGCTTAATTTAAGTTTATGGGCTAAGGGTTTAGTGCTCCTGTTAAGGGGCTTAATTTAAGTTTAAGGTTCAGGTGTTTTGGGCTCTGGTTAAGGGGCTTAGCTTAAGTTTATGGCTAAGGGTTTAGGGCTCTTGTTAAGGGGCTTAGTTTAAGTTTAGGGTTCAGGGGTTTTGGGCTCTTGTTAAGGGGCTTAGCTTAAGTTTATGGCTAAGGGTTTAGGGCTCTTGTTAAGGGGCTCAATTCAAGTTTAGGGTTAAGGGGTTTAACTTAAGTTACCATAAGAAGGAAGCCCATATATTTCTATAGATCCCCCTGCCCCCTATTAGGGTAACTTAATTTAAATTCCTTCCTTAACCAGAGCCCAGTGTCACAGAAGCTGAAGGCTTGGTAGATCTCGTGCAGAGTGTACCTCGGCCACCAATAAAAACCCGAGGTCTGAGGATTTTTGCATCAGAGACCTCACCGGTGAGGGTTGAAGCTTTCGTGGCTTGGCTTTTTGGAGCGTGTAGGGTTGCGGCCTTATTGGGTTTCGGAAAGAAGATGTAGGGCGTAGCAGGTGCTCAAAGGTGCACTTTGGATGCAACGCTTCTGGGTTGGGGAGCTGGAAAAGGAGCCGTCAGTGCAAGGTTCAGGACTTAGGGCGCTGGGATCGGGGCGTGGGGCTCACGGCCTTTTCTTTTACTCAAAGCCTCGAACCTTCGACCCTAAACCCCACATCCATGAGAAAGTGGGCCAAAAATAGGCATCCCTTTCTGAAAAAAGAAATCATCCCCGTCCTGACACGCCATCAACATGTAGTCCCCCAATAGAGATCCTAACAGAGCTGCAAGGCCCTGAACACCTTGAGGGGCTGAGAGAGACCTCAGCTTCCAGCGGGCCCTCATGTCCGACAAAGGCGGCCAGGTCGTAAGCCTCCGGCTTCAACATGGCTTAGTGTTCCGGGATTCGGGGGCTTAGAGTTTAGAGTTCAGGGCCTTTGATACAAGGGTTGGGGGGTTTCGGGTTCAGGGTTTTCGGATTCACCGATTCGGATGTTAGGGCGGCCCTACTAAGAACCAGACAGTGTAGGGTTTAGGGTTTAGAGTTTGGGCTCAGAGGATCCAGGGTTTGGGGCAGTTTAGGGCTTTGGGGTTTGGAGTTTGGGGGTTTAGGGGGGTATGGCGTATGGAGTCTTGATTATTATAAACTAGGGGCGCGGATCAGAAGACCAGAATCCGATGCAACGCAGCCCGGGGGACGGGGTGATGGGGACCATTATATTGGGGGATTATATATATATATATATACATATATACATATATATATATACAGGCTACTACAGGGATCCATTCCCCCATTCCCTAAGTAAGCACCAGGGAGTAGGCCCCCGAACCCGAGACTCCTTGAAGCCAACATGCTGAGCTAGAGACCACAGTAGCCAGGTCTCGCCCGGACTCCAGCGTGACTTTCGAAGAGGTCCTCTTGGCTCTGGGTATCAGCTTGTTTCGGAAAGGAGTTTGGGGTTTCGGGTATATAGTATATGGTTTAAGGGACAGCTTTGGTTCTAGCCTGAGGCTGAGATATTTGAGAATGCGGTTCTCGTGTGGAGGATTTTGAGCCTGGGTTCCGGCTGTATTAGCGCAGTTCCTGAAGGAGGCATTTGCTTAGAATGCAAAGGCGCATGAACACTCCGAGTGCGGATGCACGATTTGACAGTCAAACTGCACGGCACTTGTATAGAAGACGTTAGAGCTCAAGAGACAGACGGATAGACGGATAGACGGACGGACGGACAGACGGACATCCATCCATCCGTCCATCCATTCATCCTTCCTTCCGTTTTGTCCATCCGCATATGTGTGTGATTATATTTCTATATATCTATATTATACGTCCCTTTCTGTATAGGTAAGTATGTACACATGGGTGAACTACGCTGGGCTGTGTTGCTATATGGTCGTGTCAGATCCATCAGTCCCCAAAGCCACCCGATCTCCTGCTGGAACTCCGCATTTCCTGCACAATTCCAGTGCAAGGTACACAAAATATCAGAGTTCCGCATTTCAGAAGATGCATGGTCTTGACACTGACGTAAAGACCTGGGTCTCAGTGGCTCAAGAGATGCGGAAGGACTTCGGTACTGATCATTGCCCTCATCCATTCTAGAAAACCCTTCCTTCAACCCCTCCTGCGATAACAGGGGACGACTCCTTCATAAGGGAATGGGGTTTGGGGTTCCTTCATACGGAAGGACAAGTGAACGATGAACCCTGAAGCCCTAAACCCGTAACCCATATAACCATAACCCTAAGCCCCAATACCCCAATCCTAACCCCTGAACACGTAAACCTAAACCCTAAACCCCCCTAAACCCTAAACCCTAAACCCTAAACCCCTAAACCCTCAACCCTCACGAGCAGGAAAAATAGAAAATAAATTTGCGCCGGGAGCCGTACTCGCTGGATGGAACCGGTCAATCGCTCCACGGGGATGAGCGTGCAAATCTGATTTGCTGGAGGGTTTGGTCCTAGCTTCCAGGGTTTGCAGTCTTAGTGAACGGTGTCAAGCTTGATGTAGAATTGGGGTTTAAAGCCTGGGTTTAGGATCTACGGTTTTGCATGGGAGGTACACTGAACAGGGTTGAATATTAAGGCTTAGGATTTAGCATTCGGATTTCGGATGCGGGAATTGGAAGCCCGACACAGCTTCTCGTGTAGGTACCAGAATCCTTGTGAAATTACCCGTTTCCCGAATTAACTCCAAACTCGTGGCTTCCTGCATGAACCTGTCAGCAAAGCCCTTTCTAAGTGAATTAATGCTCGAACTCTTCCTTGTAAGACGAATGCTGCAAAAGCTTCTACCATCGGATATTTCAGAACATCTACCGGCTTAAACCCCACAGGGTTTGCCTCTCGCCAGTTTTTTTGGGATGAGATTGAAGCTCTTATCAGATAGCTTGGCGGCAGCATCTCGGGCATGATGAGCTTCAGGGTTAATGTAGCAGTAGTAGTAGTAGTAGTAGTAGTAGTAGTAGTAGTAGTAGTAGTAGTAGTAGTAGCAGTGGCAGTAGCAGTAGCAGTAGCAGTAGTAGTAGTAGTAGTAGCAGTAGTAGCAGTAGTAGCAGTAGTAGCAGTCGTAGTTGTAGTAGTAGTAGTAGTAGTAGTAGTAGTAGTAGTAGTAGTAGTAGTAGCAGTAGTAGCAGTAGTAGCAGTAGTAGCAGTCGTAGTTGTAGTAGTAGTAGTAGTAGTAGTAGCAGTAGTAGTAGTCTTACTCTGAATGATTCCGAATGATCCAGAGTCTCGTGTCTTGTTTCTCAAGTTTCATAATTCGGCATGCATTGAGACTCTTGTCTGCACAGCTACTATAGGTTAGGCATGAATGCCGGTGAACGAAACGGCCATGTCCTGTGCTAGAACTGCTTGGTCTAGCAGCTTGAATTCCCCTAGCTCGGGCACTGCATCAAAGCGACAACGTAACCTCGTCGGATGTACAGCATGCATCTTAAATCTCTACTAGACCCAAGAGTAACCTAGGAATAAGAAGGGTGCCCTTTTTGGGATAACGGGGGTTATATAAGGGAACCTAAACCCTCAAAAAGGGAATAAGGGCCTACTCTGGGTCCTAGTCTAAAGCCCCTAGCATCTGGGCCATGGCTAAGCTCTGAGCATCTGCTTCTTCCAGTAGCCGGGCATGCCGAGCCTGGTCGACACCTTGTAGCAGCCGGGCTCGGATAGGCTAACGCCAGTGCCATTGCGGCTTGAGGCTTACAGGGTGCTCGGTTCAAAGCTCAGCTGATGCTAGGTTTCAGTGCTTGAGAGTTGTAGGGTCTCAGGCCGGGGGGTGTGGGTTAAGTGGAGGTAAGCCTTGACAACAAGTCCTGGCACTACTCTCATCAACCTTCGTACATGTTTTAAATCGTTGCTGAAATCCGTTGCGGTTTTTGCTAGCTTTGGCAGCCCTGAAAGAGTAAAAATAACAAGGTATGAGAACTCAACAGTAAGCTTCAACGCTACAACGCTGAGATTCTCTCCGCGTCTGGTCTAGGTCACTGCTGTCATATCTCCGAGGGCCACGCGGTGATCAAACTCCTGCGAGACTTGCAAGTACATGGCTTCATGTCAGGATGCCCAGATGGCCCAATTCAATTCAATCAGGATCTCTTGATACTTTAAGGAAGGAGTGCTCCCTCTTGAAGGTGGTGGGCACTCTGGGTACATCCTAGTGAATTTTTGCCCAATGGACCTTTGAATCACCAGTACTGTAGTCGCGACTAGAAGTACCAACAGTTCAGGCTCGAACGCTGCCCGGCACCCCGGCGTTACGTGGCTGAAGAAAAGCAAAACGGACGTTCCCGTAGAGAGTCTTACAGGTTTGTACGTAGGGCCTGGGGCCTAATAGGGCTAGGGTATTCCGTCCGGCTACAAGCTATGAGGGAATTCAGCTCCGGCTCCTCTGGTATTGAACCGGAAATCCTGGCGAATGAAAGCCGCATCAGCCCCATCTAATAGCCAACAGCACCATAGCCGCAATCTCAACCATGAATCCTGAAAGCTCTGCGAGGCGCTGCTTTAGAAGCTTCGTCAGCTTTACAGCCCACAAAACCAACGCCCGCTTGCTTAAGGCATGCTTATAAAGTTTTGAGAATTTCTATATTAGTTGTTGTCGATTCTTCGCTGCGGTTTAAGCAAGCAGTGGGATGCGTGGCTGAGGACTGTGTAATGCTTGTCACACTGCAAGAAGTCCTGGAGGGCACCGCACAGCAAAGGCTGCCATACGTCCTGATGTGAACGGACTTCAACCCCAAACCACAACTCCCAGCAAGCAGCTGTACACCTCAAACTGATGCTGACAGGCCGACAAAAGACAGAAACTGCACACTGTATAGAAGACTGACTTGAACAGCTACAGACCTTCGACCTATGGCTCTTATGGTTCGTGAAATCTTGTTTTGATTGGCGCAGAAACTCTGCGTGGGCTGCTGTCGGAGACCCGTATCTTTTCCATGGGCTGCTGACGCAGCAACAAGTTCAATTCGCAGTTTATTCTGAGGTTTAGGCATTACAATTTGGATGGCTAGCTGCCGCCGCTGAATTCCCACAAGCACCGAGGACTCCAATTCGGACCCCGAAATCGCGGCTATAAAAGAGTGACGCCTCGATAGTAGAGGTCGCTGTAGAGGCAAGGCCAACTCGCGAATCGCCCTGGGCTGTGCTCTTCACCACCAGATATGGCTCAGGGCTCAGGCTTAGGGCAAATCCAGGTTCAGGTGAGTAGAACCGTCGCCTTCTAGAAGACACATGCGACTTGGACCCTGCGGCAAGATGCTCTGCTTATGAGAACTGGAAACCACGTAGCTTCAATAAACCTCCCAGCAGGCGACTGGGGCAAACGGGACGCATCCGGAACTCATCTTTGACCGAAGTCTACACCCCAAACCTGCAATGACTCCATATAACCCTAAACCCTAAACCCTTATAGTAAACAGTGGAAACAGCAACTCTACCCTCAAGCCTCAAGTTCGGCCCGCAGTGTCATGTTCGAGCATACTTCGTTCGTGCTCATGATGACGATCGTGATGGTGGTGAGATATATGTACATAAAATTTGAAGGTACTATTGATGCTGATGGCAGTGGGAACTACCCTTGCTAGGCTGTTATGACCCTGCTCTCACTGACATTCAGCTTGACCGCTGCATTCTGACTGTAGTTAGCAATTCTGTTTCTGGCATTGTCATTTAGATCAGTGACTTGAAGACTCCATCGTGACAGGCAGCCTCGCCGAGGATCTCTCCATGCATCATGGAACACGGCCTCCCGAGCCCAATTCGGCAGCTTGAAAGCTGAAGAACAACAGCAACAGCAGCAGCAGTAACAGCAACAACAACAACAACAACAAAACAAGGCAGCGCCGGCTTCGGCGACCAGGACCCCACCCACCCACCCACCCACCCACACACCCACACACCCACACACACACTGGAAACCGGCGGCGGTCAACAACAACAACAACAGTTGATGCACTTGCAAGTGCAACTGCGACTGCAGCCACAACTGCAAAAACGACTGTGTCGACGATGACGGCTACGACTGCCACCACTACAAGTATATCTAGCACCACCACTACCAATACTACTAGCGCTAGCACTAACTGTACAACTTCGACGACGACGGCGACACCTACGACAACGACTACGACTACCACGACGACTACTGCTCCTGCCACTACTCTTATTCTGCTGCTACGACTACTTCCACTACGGGTACATCATCGTCGTCATCATCATGATCATCATCAGTACTAGTCTTGCGTGCCAGTGAGGGACATGCTCCTCACATCTCCTCGCGAACTTGATCACAACCACAACCCCATCGTACCAGAAAGAGCTCCGTTGATCCGAAAGCGCACGGAACTTACACGCACCTTACTCTAAACTCCACCACATATCTCATCAAAAACCCTAGCCCCGGAAAGCCGACCTGCTATAACGAGCCGCAGCTCACTGTCGCTGGCAGTGTTGCTTTGCAGGCCGGCACAAGCCAGCCACATCAAGCCTAATCCTACTCGAGCTGATCGTGAGCTGAGAGCTTTCAGGCTGCTTGAAGCGCGAACCCTCAGCTAACGAGTTGACGCTCACATATCTAGGGTCTGGCTGCTCCGCAAGCATATGTCTTGACCACATAATCCCGGTCTGCTCTCGAACCCCAAGCTTGGACACCGCAAGGGGCCACAACGCTACGGTCGAGAAGCTCATGCGGACTTGTCTGTGCATCGATATGGTGTGGTTGCTCTTGCTGTTGTTGCATGTTGCTGCTGCTGCTTCTGTTCACGTAGTTGACATTCCGAACTGTTGCTGCTACCATAAGTTAAGCTCGATTCTCATGCCCAGTGCCACCTGAGACCGCATCATATTGGACCCGAGCCAAAGCAGGTGCGGGCGATGCTTTACAGGCGGTGCAAACAGACAAAGTGCAATGGAACTGCATGACTGCAGTCCTTTTGCATCTACATTTCGAAAAGCTCCTCGAAGAACTGCCGAGAAACAAACCACCACTCCATCCCGTCAAGACGATTCCAGCGAAGCATGGATTTCGACCGGCATGTGCAAACCTAGCAAAGCTCTTACAACGAATCACTTTCATCAGCATGCTCACTGAACCCTGGCCGGCAAAACCCAACAGCTGAGGTCTCGGGGCGACTAGCACCTGGATCTTGATGGCTGCGCGGTGGCGCTTGTGAGGCGTCGTCTGCACGGCTGCCAATGCAAAGCCATCAACAGCATTCTTGTGAATATGCTCTTTAAATCCAAACTGCCCAAATATCCATCCAAAGCTCGTCCGTTTCAAATTCCCAAAACCCAAAACGCCAACCCCACAGCCAAGGATGTTCAGGGACTATTTGGCTTCATGGGGTAAACAATATAAAAAGCTGTTACAAAACCGTGGGCTCAGTAGGCGCTGCAGAGTTTGCACTTGGCTTTCTGAGTAACCGAGACAACCTCGACTTTCGCCTGGGAGAGGACGAGCTCCTTCGCACCGCCAGGACGCACCCGCTCCATGCGCAGCCTCTTGGGCTGACTTGGGACTGAGAAGGGTTAGTAGGGAATGGAAGAACGGTAGTAATAGTAGCTATAACTGTACCCCATTCCTCCATTGCATACTAACCAAAGGTAAGAGTAACGAACTTTCGATGCTTTGCGACTATGGCCAGGAATCCGCATGGGAGGGAAGCCCATTTAGACTTTCGGCTTCGGGTGTAGAGTGTAAGGTGTAAAGTTTGCAGCACCACAGCCGGCTACAGTCTAGGTCGGGAAGCTGCAATTACGGCAATGAATATTTTTTCAGCCAAGAGTGACAAGCAGAGTACCAGCAACCTCTACGTCAGCACTAGCCGTCCTGGCTGTTCCTAGTGACGGGTTGCTGCTGCCAGCTGCGCTCATACCACTGTATCACGAAATCGGGATGCTCCACAAATCACCGGTTGCGGTTGAACTCCCATTTCGTCAAGCCCGTTGAGCCATTGGCCTGGCATCAAGAACGCTCGGTTCCCATGTGGTACCTGTGTTATCGTTATCATCGCCGTTGTTGTTGATGCTGTGCTTGTGGTGTGCTGCTGGTGGAATGTAGGGCAACATCGACCTCCGATTCACGGTATGACTTCTGAGTCTTCTTGAGCTACAGCGTCCGCCACAGCTACGACAACTGCTGGAAACCTGTGGCGTGTCGTGAAGGACTTGTTCGCCCCAAAAGCTTAGTATTGAACGTCCAGCCGCAATGTGCAGTGCCCCGACTCCCGAAACGCTGAGCGTGGAGCCTGAGCATGCCTCTGAGGGGTTGCGGCCCCTTCTGAACGATGGCCTGCTCTGGAAGCGACTCAGACTTAGAGTATTGGTGATGTGGGCGCTTTTGGCGCCTGCTTTCCTGGCTTTTGTTTGTAGGTTTAAGAATCGGGTGATCTGAAGTTTTTGCGGCATCATTGGAGGTCTACAAACTTATGTTGCACATGCTGAACACTCACAGCCGATAATAGCTTCTTATTCCGGAGCGACTTCGGGCAAGACCGGGGAACTCCAACAGTACAGGAATGTGACAATCTGAAGTCCAACTGATGAGCACGCCCAGACCGAAAATTCCATCAAGCAACGAGAACAGACAACTGCATTCATACCTTGGCCTCTTCGATCGTGCTTCACAGTGTCATAGTGAAATGATCATAGGCATGAGATCCCAAGAACTGACTCCAACGCCACGAAACTGTGTTTTTCTTCTGGAGGGCAGCCACCTGCTCCCTGGCCATTGCCATCTTCCTCTTCGCAAGCATCACCTTTAGCAAAGGCCATCTTGGAGAGTAGGGGGCGGGCGGGGGGAGGGGGGGGGGAGGGTATATTAATCTGTGGGGTGTATAAATATCTACATACGGCATTTAGAACAAAGGGATACAAGCGTAGACGAATTGTTGAAGTGCACAGGATCCTTCAAGGCCTGCTGAGCTGTCGCGGGCTTAGCTCAAGCCCCGAAGGCCCGAAGACGCAAAGCTCGGTCTCAGAGACAACCGGGTCCCGGACTCGCCCCCAAGTCTGGATCTTCACGACGCTGTTCCTGACGGAGTCGCATTCCCACATACCCTGCTCTTAGATCTTTCTGGCACACACACACACACATGCCTGCATGCGGAGCGAGGGACGTACGCATGTATGCAGGTAGGTACGTACGTAAGTACGTATGTCCGTATGTACGAAAGAATGTATGAATCAATCAGTGAATGAGTGCATGAATGAATGCAAGAAAGAATGAAATAACGAGTGAACGGGTGAACGAATGAAGGAATTAAGGAATGAAGGAATGAACGAACGAATGAACGAACGAACCAGTGAAGGAATGATGGAATGGATGAATGAATGAATGAATGAATGAATGAATGAAAGAATGAATGAATGAAAGAATGAATGAATGAATGAATGAAAGAATGAATGAAATAATGAAAGAATGAAAGAATGAATGAAATAATGAAAGAATGAAAGAATGAAAGAATAAAAGAATGAAAGAATGAATGAATGAAGGAATGAATGAATGAGGGAACGAACAAATGCATGTATTCGCATTTATGTATGTGTTCGGAGTATCTACCTGTCCATCAGTGAGTAGCAAACTCAATAAGCTAGCGAGCACACAATTCGATATAAGCATATACAAGCATATGCTTTCCGTCCTGCCTACCTACTTACTCATCTAGTTACATACATACTTACCTCATGCATGCGTACACACAGACAAACATAAACGTATCTGCCGATGAACATGGGCCGTTGTGCTTTGGCACACTGTTGTGTATGCACAAGAGTGCGTGGGTGTGTATGTGTAACTTATCACGGTGGGAGTCTCCGGAAATGAGCGGCCGAGGTTAAAACCGTAATAGCAGTGCAGGGTCCTTGTTCTAAGGAGCCTCAAACAAGGTATGCGGCGAGCTTCAAGCGGCCCCAAGATATGTACGGTATGCACATGCACTTGCACACTACCATCCTGCATACCTTGCAACTTCGAATATTTGCCTTCGCGCTAATGTTCGGCCAAGATGCATGTACTGCTCCTGTTCTTCATCCCGCTTCCTGTGATCCAGCCGGCAATGAAGATTTCATTGGGGACGGGAAGGCTACTCGGCTCAAACCACGAAGGTCAGATTTTGGCGGTGGCAGAGCCAGTAAGTACCCCAACAACAGACATGCCAATACTTCATATAATTTGAGGCCACCAGGATTATTTCTGCGTTGCATCAGTCAGCCCGGGACATACTGCTGGTATGGATTCGTGTCTGCACGTTCAATCCTGAACCCGCTTCATGCCTTGACAACCGAAACTCCGCAATCTACTTGAGTCCCTCACCCCATAAACATCAAACCCTAAACCCTATACCACAGGAAGGAACCCGGAGGATGGCGAACCCCAATTTCTAGCAGTGGCCAAGAAAGGATTTAAGGAAGTGTTTACTAGACTCTGCGGGCGCAAGCCTCCTGAGCTCCTTCTCTGCATCCGTCGGCTCCTGGCATGCACCCAAAGGTGCGCGTTTGATGCGTAAGTCTGCAACAGTGGCCAATCAGAATCTATATAGTAAGAATAGTAATAACAATAATAATAATAGTAATAATAATAATAATAACAATAACAATAATAATAATAATAATAATAATGAGTCCTGATGAGCCGACGCTTGACGTTATCGACCGACCGTCTGAAGGTGATGATACAGTTTGGGGATCTGTCTCCATGTGGTGTAAAGGCTTCGCCAGGCAGGGGCGAGGGTATGAAG